ATTTGTGAAATAATTCTATTTTTTATCTTTATTTTTCTGGTTATTGTACATTCACATATATTTCGCCTTTTAAATTACACACATTATACTAAAATAAGCCTTTGGAGGAAGGTTACTAGGAGAGAAAGGAGGATCAAATTATTATTTTGGCAGCGACTTTTTCAGGATCACACAAGATCCTAGGTTAAGCTTCAAACTAAGTTTTTTGCTTTTGGGGGGGTGCGGTTTGCCTCTTACATTTTTTCAATAATGCTGCCCTTTAACTCTGTTTTTCCTTTGTTTCCCAAACTTTGAACCATAATCACAATTATAGGACAACCCTCAGACATTTCTTATCAGAAAACCTGATGGCACCTTCTTAATCAGAAGCTTCATCTAAATGGGTTGTCTATTCAGTCCTTCGTCTGTTTGGTTTAGAGGGATTCTTTGGATGGTTCGTTTTAATAGTTTTCAGATGCACATTGGCTCGGATTTAGTTCAAACTGTATTGCTAGAGATGAGAGAGAGAAAGAGACAGAAAAAAAAAAAAAAGGAAAATGCACATACTTGGGCCCAGTTTGAGTTGTGTTTATTCAGCAGCATCCCTGGAGTACTCACTACGTTCTAGGCACTGTGTTAGGACCTGGAGGGCTGGAGACACAGAAGATGCTCTTTCTCAAAGGGCTCACAGTCTAATATGAGAAAAAGACTAAATTACAATTGAGTGTGTATGCTAAGCCCTAGATTAGAACCGTAAGTAGTACAGAAGGTCAATATTCAGAAAAGAGAAAAGGAGTCTTCTCCAGTGGTGGAGTGACAAGGGAAGGCATTTGATAGAGATGACAACAAAGCTGAGTCCTATGGACATGTAGGAGGTGGCCAGGCAAGGAGCCTGAAGGACAGGAAATCCAGGAAGAAGGATCAATGTGAGGCAGGGGGTGAACCAGGGTCATGAGGACCATGTGTTCACTTAGGCCAAGGAGTAGAGCTGGAAACAAGAGACAAAAGATAGACAATGAGCCTGGTGAGGAAAGCAGAGGCTGCGTGGAGGCCATATGCCATGTGCAGGAGCACGTACTGTACTCTGAACACTCTGTCGGGCTCCTGCAAGTTTTCTGACAGGGTAGCAATCTCTGAACACTTTGGATTTATCTTATATTCTCCAATACTTAGTTCTTTCCTCCCTCGGGGACTTTGTACATGTTAATCCCTCTGCCGGAAAAGCTCTCCCCCTCTTTTCCTGGCTGTCTCCTTAGTATCTTTCAGACGTCAGCTCTTAAGAAATCTTCCGTAACCACCCTTTCTGAAACGTTTCCCGTTTGTTTCTTTCCCATCATCCAGGGGTGTCCAACCTCTTGGCATCTCTGGGCCACACTGGAAGAAGAAGAGTTGTCTTGGACCACACATTAAATACATCATGACATGTAATCACACACACAAAAAAATCTCATAATGTTTTAAGTAAATTTACAATTTTGTGTTGGGCTGCATTCACAGCAGTCCTGGGCTGCGTGCAGCCTGTGGGCCACAAGTTGGATACCCCTGATACCATTTATAATTTTTAAAATAATTTGTTTCCTTTACAGTTTCAGCTCTCTTTAGCCATAGGCTGTAAATTTCCAGAAGGTAGGATTGTATCTCAAACCCCTAGGCCAATGCCTAGCCCACCACTGTAGGTACTCAACAGGTATCTGTTGAATAAATGAATGAATCATCAGATTGGCCTGTTAGTTAGAGAGCTCTGGCTGTAGAGCAGAGAACAGACCAGAAGAGCAGCCAAGACCGGTGATGGAGAACGTAGTTAGAAGGCTGGTGAGAGCTGGGGAAAGCCTGAACCACAGTCATAGCAGGGAGATAGAGATGTGCATAGAGTCAAGAAATAGTGAAAAAGGGAATCAGTGGAGGTTAGGTGGATGAAGGGTGTTTGTAAGAGGCAGGAGACAAGGACATCAAAACATAGAAAACCAGATGAACGTTTTCTCATTGACTCAGGAAAGGCAAAAAGAGTTCAAAACAGGTTTGGGGAGAAAAGAAAATGAGCTTGATTTTGGACATGTTGGGTCTGAGGATACCCATGGGCTATCTGGATAGAACTATGCAATAAACATTTTGATTCATGTGTTAAGAACCCAAGAGAGAGATCGGGGCAAAAGATAAATATTTGAGTGTCATTGGTTTATAGAGTCATTTCTCCACTCTCCAACAAATGTTCATTTACTAACTGCTTTGTCCCAGGCATTAAATACAGTGGAGAATGAAACAAACATTATTCTGGCTTTTACCAATAGCACAGTCAAGCCTGATAGCTGATATCATGGAAATAGAGAAGATAACTTAGGAAATATCTATATCTATATCTATATCTATATCTATATCTATATCTATATCTATATGTGTGTGTGTGTGTGTGTGGAGAGAGAGAGAGATGAGCACTGTGGAGAACACCAACATTTAAGAGAACCGGGGGAGTTTGAATGGATGAGCACAGGGGTTATCCCTTACCAATCCCTTGTGTCAAACTAAACTTAGTTTTCAATTCCTTGCCTATTTCTTTTTGGTGGCAGGATTAAAGTATGTGTGTTCACATTCTCTCTGTACAGAAATTCATCTTAAGTTGTCCTTCAAATAAGGAATTTCAAAGGTTGGAACTGAAACAAGTATCAGCCCGCAGGCAGGTGATACACAAAGAGATGAGCAAAAGCTGGAGATCAACCTAGAATTTCCTATTCAGCTATGAATTTCCTTGCCATTGTTACATGTGTTTTAAGTCAAACTTAATGTGCATTGTGGTTGGATTTCCTTTGTTATGGTCTGTGAGACAAATGTGATGTAAATATTGTCGCAATAGAAATAGGTGTCATAGTCTGTTTTGCCAAGACCACTGTTGGAGAACTTTTATTTATTTATTTATTTTTACTCCTTAGTTCTCGTAATCCAAGAGACAATGCCTCGGCTCTGGTGCTTCCCAAGTAACAGTCAGCTTAATACCTGGGTGTGGGTTACTTGGGAGGTGAAATTTCTTAAGCAATTCTTCAAATAAAATTTTGCTGTTTTTTAAATAGTGGGGTATATACATTTTTTAAAAATCAAGATATAATTGACATATAGCATTGTTTTAGTTTTAGGTGTACTGCAACATGATTCACTATATATAGCAAAATGACCCTCACAATAAATCTAGTCAACATCCATCATCATACATAGTGCTATTTTATTTTACAAAGCAAATTATGAGTATTGAATATTGTAAAAATTAAAGCCATTCATCTAAAATATCATAGATTGTGTATTGGATTTAAAAAACTGAATTTTTTCTTTTTTTTTGCAAAAAGGAGAAGCAAATATATTTACCAAGCAACGGAGAGAAAACATGCAAAATATTAAGTCACTTAAGCGCTCGAATGGAAACTTCACAAAAAAAGAAGGAACTACCCTTCAACAAGAGACCTAAACATTATGTCAACTGAAGTAAGCTAGTCAGAGAAAGAAAAATACCATATGATTTCACTCATATGTGGAATCAACAAACTAACAGGCAAAGTAAGACAACTCAAAGCGAGCAGGATGACCGCCCCGGGGGGGGGGTCAGGGGTTGGAGGGATCAAGGGAAAAGGAAAAGGACTCGTACACAACAACAGTAGGGAAAAGGGGAAAATTAATGGAAAAAATTACAATAAAAAAAATAAAGATCCTGAATATTTTTCAAAAAATAAAAAAATAAAAAAAATAAAAAACTGAATTTTTTTAAAAAAATCTCAATAAAAAATCTTTCTTATGCAGAAGTCAAATGTAACCAAAAGAAAAAGAATAAATTTGTATGTTTATTTATATTCCGAAACATGGTGACTTTTTGCATGTGTTTATGTGCATGGCATTTAACACTTTTTTGATACATAAAATGTGCCTTAGGTAAACTTGCTTCCCCTTCGTAATGGGCAAAATAATAGCTTTTATCAATAAAATCTATTTTACTTACGAATTTTTTTGTTTTATATTCAAATTGGTCTTTTTTCTTACGTTGCATTTTTAACGGTGCTTTCCTTATCTCACAAAAGTTATTTTTTTTTAATTACCCTCAGCCATCAACTTCTTTGACCCTAATTTTAAAACAGGTGATTGCATTAAGCATATGGACAGATCTCTCAACTAAGTTCTACCCATGTGAAGCTCATAAAATGGGAGAACTTTAGAGGCAGAGAAGGAGATGACATATCAATTACATATTCCTTGATATTTATAAGTTTTATATTCCTGTGTTCCTAAACATACTATAAAAATGAATGAGCCATTGATAATATATGTAATATCATGTAGCTAAAGGAAATACCCAGCAAAAATGAAGCAGATACAAAATTCAAAGAGTAAGTCATTTTGTACCGTTAATTTACCTTTTTCTTAAAAAAAAATTCTACCCACCCGTAAAAACTTCTTGCTCTTGAAACAAATCTAAATTTTCTCTGTGCTTAAAGAATTTGTTTTTATGTTTCAAGGGCTTCCAAGGGGCTTGCTTCTTCTAGTCTGGCTTTTTAAAGATTTCCCCTGTGGTGCCTCTAGAAGTGAAGGGAACATCTTTAAATCTTGTTTGATTTGAATGAATGGATAGCTAATCCCCATCAGATATTTCTTTAGAAAATCATGTTTAAAAACTGTGAGGAGGTTTAGCTCTCTGGGCTGATTCTTAGGTAGGCTGTTTTCATCCCAGTTGTTAAGGTCTCCGAGGTCAGCCAAGGTAACCATTTATTTTAAATCATCTTTTGTTTCAGGTTTCCTGTTGAGTGTTTTTTTTAACCATTTCAAAAATCACCCAGTCGTTGTGTCATAGCTTTCCATAGCCTCCAGATTCAAACCCAAAGCACTTCTCCGTACCTAAATGACTGTGCCCTCTCACGGAAACGCAAACTGGAGCAGAACATGAAATGAGATATCACATTTTTTAATCACAATGAAACTCATGTTTAGAATTCTGTTGCCAGATATCTTCTATTTATGACACTTTGCTTTTTCTGTTTTTGTTTCCCTAGGACATTTGGGCTTCCAGGACAGTTTTGTCACATCAGGTGTTTTTAGTGTGACTGAGCTAGTAAGAGTGTCACAGAGTAAGTATAATTTTGCTTTGATTTGGTTTGTGCTTACTTTCTGCCTAGGCCTCCTGGAGACATAAATAGCTTTCAGAATCGCCTTTTCATTCACCCACTGGAAGAATTTTGCCGCGCAGTTTATTTAACAGCCAGGAATTTAAATCAGGAAAATTTGATGTCATTTTAATGTGAGACATATGGAAAGAACTGAAATCCTGAGTGTCTCACATATTCCCTAGTTTATAGTGTGAACCTGGTTTTAAAAATTTCTGAGGCTTTCCTGATTTCTAAGAAATTCTGCATTTATAAAAAATTTGGTTTTGACCTTTAAAGAATGCTAATGCCCTCAGCATGAGTGACACAGTAGAGCATGATCATTACCGGCTTGTCAATAATCACCAAGAGCAGTGAATTAAGAGTACCTGTCGCCACCCTGGTCCATTGATCAAAGGGTCAGTGATTGTATTTTTGCTCTAACATAATCCCAGCAGTCCAAGGAGAAGGTACAGGATATTCCTCCTTTCCCTCTCTCTCTGTCTCTCTCTCTCTCTCTCTCCCTCTGCCTCTCACAGATACATACACACACAGTCCTCCTCCTTCAAAAACATCTTTTTGTTTTTATGTTAAAAGCATACCTGCAATGACTATGATGTTTGAGGTCCCAATAACAAGGAAAAATAAATACCAAGTATTCATATTTTTTATCCCTCTCCTACTTCAAACTATCACTTGTAGGCAAAATATACATTGTCAAAATTTATTTCGCACTGGAACAAATCATTTGTGGAATGAGGTGGAGTAAAAAGTAATCTTTTCTTTTCAAGTTCACCACCTTCCCCACCCCCAGTTCCCTGAATTACTGTCTTACAAGACTGACTGAGCAAACCAGGAAATCTCATGACAAGATGCCAGGTCAAGCAAGGCAAGCCATCCTGATCTTACAATTTGAATTCTGTCTATTCTTATTTTTTAAGGCCAGAGGACTCTATAGAATACAAAACTTGGATACAAGGTGGAGTCAGGGAATCAGGGAGTACAGGGATAGAGGAGAGTGACTGCTGAGCATTCACTCTCTGCCAGGTACTGCATTAAGTTTTCATGTAGTAACAAAAGTTAATTCTTGCAGTAAACCTGTCAGATAAGAAATTACTCTCATTTTTACAAATGAGTTAAATTACAGGTCTGTTGAAGTTGTTTACCCAAAGTCAAACATAAGATAAATGGCTAAGCTATCTGTGTTATGTTAGAATCCATGCTATTAGACTGGCCCATTGAAATCTACAATGTGAGGATAGACAGAGAAAATAGCAGGAAGGTAACTGTGGGTGTGTGAATTCTGGGAGTCAAGAACCCTTGGATGATGCAGGGGCGTCCTGGTGAGTGTGTGTGGGGCGGGGGGGCGGGTTGGAAATCTAAGGAATAAGGCATTAGAAGCAACAGTTGTGAGATAGAAGGGAGACGTTGCTGTCATATTATGAAGTACGCTTCAAGGAGCAGCCAGCAAGGTAGAGGCTAGATTGCCTTGTCGTTTTGGAGGGTGTGTGCTGCCCTAGCATAGCTGATTAGCCAGGTACTTGCCATAGACAGATACCAATGCATTTGTGTATTTGTGTGTGTGTGTGTGTGTGTGTGTGTGTGTGTGTGTACACACACACACACACACACACACACACCTCTTTAGGACTTTTAAAAATCACTAACTCATGTTTTTCTTGTTATTTTCATAAAAACTTTAATATAGACTGACATATCAGAGTATAACTGTCATAGTGGCATCACAGGGAAATACATTCATTGAGCCTTTGCTACAATCCAGACATTGCCTCAAAGAGTGAAAACCCTTTGAACTCTAAGATTGGAGCACTCGACCTTTTTACTCAACCCAGGCTGCTGTAATGCTCACATTTAGTCTTCATTACCATCAGTGTCCGAGGCCTAGGGCTTGTGTGAGAAAGCTCACGCTGCTCAGAACCATCCCAGAATCCCGTCCTCCTTCTACTTTCCGTATGTCTCTTTAAGGTCTTACATCCCAGGGTTGATCTGTTCCAAGCTCGATTAGACCTCCATGCAGTCTATGATGGCGTGGTTGCCAAGTGAATCCTAAACCTGCCTCCAAGACTGCCAGAGGGTCTGGCTGGACCACAGATTGAATTTGCAGAGGGACCTGGTTTTGTTTCCTGTCCCTGTTTCGGGGGTTGTGTTGCTGATGTCTGGCATCATGAGCGCCCTCCGGCTCTTGAATGCTTTTCGATTCTGCACACTGCTGCGTAATCGCTCTAGGACTCACTCACACATGGCCTCGTGCTGACTGAAACCGTTTGGCAAGAGTGGGACTGGGCTGTGTCAGCTAAACCATGGCTTTAGGCCAAAGTGCCATCCAGAGCCCCCTCCCTCTTACAGATCTTTAATCCAGGTTTGTCAGGGCATATGTCTCTAGGTTGCCTTGGTGGCTGGGGTAAGGATCCCCCAGCTCAGGTTTCCTCACCCACACACCTTTCTGAAAGACTTAACACTCAGGCCACAGAAAGGAGTCAAAATCCTTAACCGTTCCTTCCAGAGCTGACCCCTTGCCCAGGCTGGAAGAACGAAGTGTCTGCTTTAGAGGTGCAGCAGACACATTTTACAGATGAGTGGGGCTGGGTGCATTCTGCAACCTTGAAATAGAAATAAGCTAACTGGCACATAAGTTGATTAAACGCATGATGTTGGCACTGTTAAGGGCATGACCCAACACTAATATGTAAAATTATAGTAGCTAGCATTTATCAAGCATGCACCATGTACCAGGAATTGTGCTAGGCTCTTTGTAAACATTATCTCATTCAGTCCTCCCGTGGTTGCTGTTATTGTCCCTTTTTACAGATGAAGGAGAACACGATGCCCTTAGAGATTAAGAAACTTGCTCTTTTCGCTTTGCTGTACTCAGCTAGCTGACTGCAGACATTTTTGTCATGACCTCTCCTATACCTGCATTATAGAACTAAACAAAATACTAAGATTCTGTGCTTTTATTATTTATTTATTTAATCATTTATGGTGAGTGTTGATAAACTTTTAGATTATTAGTGTGGCCATTTAAAAAAGGTTAAAACTGTTTTTCAGATGAAACAAAACAATAAGACACTTAATTAAATTTGTTTTTCCTTGGATTTTCTTTTTCTGGGATGAATTAAAAAAAATGAATACAGTTAGTTTTATGGTTTTAGGTTAACAAAGTACAGAATTTCAAAATACCTTCAAAATAGCTTCTTCTGTTATTAACATCTTTTGTGAGTGTGGTACATCTGTTAAAATTGGTGAGCTGATATTGACGCATTATATTAAGTCCATAGCTTACGTTAGGGTTCACTCTTTGTGTTGTACGTTTATGTGTTTTGTCAATTTATGTGTTAATAATGTCAAATACATAATGACATTATTACAGTATCACATAAAATAGTTTCGCTTCCCTAAAAATCAACTGTACTCCATCTAAATATCTCCCACTCCCCCAACCAGTAATCTTTTAACTCTTTCTGTAGTTTCATCTTGTACCTGGATGTTTTCAGTGGCCTCAATGTCTTCGAATCTCTTCTCTGTGTTGCAGATTTTCTCCTCAACCCCATCTTATCTATCCCAGCCCCATCCAGTCCCCGCAACCACATTTACAGTCTGGAAACTTCACACTAATGGTGGCCTTAGCTTGAAAATTGTCTTTTTTTCCTGGTTCTTTAGCATTCAATTTTGAAATTTGCTAATATAAATATTTACTTTCCCCAGGTTTCCAGTTAGTTTCTGTTTTTAGTTTTCCTCCTTTCAAATTTAATAGAGGAGGGAGGTGCTATTTCAGTATTTCCTCATGAGGATTCACTGAAATAACTATGTGCTAAGTTTGTTGTTTATAATCGTGTTACTACAGGGTGGCAATGGCAGAGAAACTCAAGAGAAAGCTGCTGGCTTAGCCTCCCACAGTCAGAGGTGAGAGTCGGGCAACAAGGTTATTGTACTGATGAGCTGCATGGATCTGTTGGAATTTCCCACTAATTCCCTTCTCACCCTTGCTTCCTGCCTTTTCATTTTTTTGCATTACCTAGAGTTCATGAAAGACAAGAAAGGAGAGTCCTGATTCTATTAGCAGCAAAGAAAGTACTGTTTCTGTACCATAAAAGTAAATGTATGTTTGTTCTCCACCTCTTCCCCCATGTGATAGGACCATCTGAAAGTTGTTCTAGTTATTTATTGCTTTCTTCCCAGGGAGAGAGGACCACTATTCAGACCACTAGATGCTGTGCCAGAGAGAAAGAGAGAAGTCTTCTCTGCTTTGGGGCTTGGAGGAGGGGGTTTACCAGTGCTAACAATGTGGTTCAGAATCACTGAAGTTGTTTTAGCAGAATACTGTGAGGAAAGAGACAGGAACCATCTGTTGAAATGGCTCTTACATGATGCTGCATTTTCAAACAAAGCCCTCTAGCAGCCTTTTCAGATGGGTCTCTTTCCCATGAAGTTGCCACAGAGAGCCCACTCTACGAGCTGCTAAATGATGCTCTTAGATGGCTCTCTGGGTCAGCACCCACTCTTGTTTATTTTGTACCAGTGTTTGCCTCCCAGTGTGTGCTTTGAGGCTGTCAAATATGCTTCCTGGTATGAACCCAGAAAATCCTCCCAAAAAATCCACTACTTCTGCCCATTTCCTTCTAAAGTGCTGACTATTTTACTTGAAGTTGGTGGAGTGACTCTGAAACCCTAAATACTTCGCTGGGAAAGAGGAAAACCGCAAATACACACAGGCCATTGTGACTCTGGCCTGGCGGGTTCCAGTTTTCCAGGCAGTGGTTTGTACACTCCAGCCGGCTGCAAGGGTTAAGTAAACTTCGTGGCTGGGGATGACTTCATGGCCCTGGAATTTTGAAAAGCCAGGGTTCTCAGTACACTGTGGCCAGCCTTAGAGTCTTTGGGTGTGAAAACCACTCTCAGTTACCCAGGCTGATTTTTGGTTCCTGTTGCACTGCTGCAGAATCTATTAAAATCCAGCAGCTGAA